AAACCAAAAGGAAAGTTTGGGGGAGGGTCAGAATGCTGATAGCTTTGTTGTACCAACTGGAGAATTGAGGTTTTTATTCACATGTTGAAGAGAAAATAGAAGTTTAAGTACTTCATAGTGGCAAACAGAACTAAATATAGTTCTGTGTAAAGTCTTCCCTTTTCATGTTGTCAGGCCAATAGTTAATGCCCAAAGATTAATCAAGGTATAAACGTCACACTGTAGGACCAGGTGTAGCAGCTTATGTCTGTAATCTCAGTTACTTGGGAGTGAGTGCCAGCTCCAAGCAAAAGCACCAGACGCTATCTGAAAAATAACTATAACAAAAAAGGGCTGGAGGTGTGGCTCAAGTAGTAGGGTGCCTGCCTAGCAAGTGTGAGGCCCTGAGTTCAAAACTCCAGTATCACCACAAAAAACTGCCATACATAATGGTACATGCCTATAATCCCAGCAACTCAGGAGGCAGAGGTAGGAGAATCAAGGACTGAGGCTGGCCCTGGCAAAAGTATGAAACCCGATCTAAAAACAAAAGCAAAAAGGGCTGGAGGGAGGGTTGTGGTTCAAGTCCCAGTGGCACCAAAAGAACAAAACAATCTAGATTTAAGGAGAAGTTAAGTCTAGAATAAAAAATGAGAGATCTGCCCAGAGTAGGGCTTGGGATGAGTTTGGAATCTGTTGCTTTCTACCCTAAATTCTTTATTTCTGATTTATCATTGGTGTTTATTATTCTACCCAAAACTTAAAAATTGAGTTTGAAGATGGGTTACAATTATCACAGTAATACCACCTTCTAAATTTTCAGGTCCTAATTTGGTTGAGCTAAGACGGCTGTGTTTTAAATTAAACAACAATAGTGTCCTTGTTCTAATGAAGCAGTATTTCATGTTCTCTGGGACAGAGTTGCATAGCTAGAGGCAGAATCTTTAATCCTGAGGAAATGAATTCTTGCCAGAGACAATGAAGCAAAGCTGCTATTGTCCTTACAGTTTTAAAAGCACCCCAGTGTTTAGAACGTTTGATTGAAATAGTTATGCACAAGCACATTAGCTGTTCTTGGGGGAGGACTTGAACGTGTGAATGGGACTGTGGCTTCCTTGATGGGTTCTGAAGTAACCTCTAGTTAATAGGAGGGCAGTGGTTCTGGCTTTGTGCCATTGGTTATGATCTAGACCTCAAACACCTGCATTTGTGTCAGACCCCCAGTTACTGTCATACTTTCACATTGCCTTGTTAATGACTTTTTTCAAAATGTGTTTCTTACCATGAAAGATGCTGCTGTTGTGGTTTTGCAAGTTTCAGTTTCCAGTATGTTAGAGTCTTGTAAAACTCAGTGAAGGTGACTGTCCCCAGGCTCTGAGACGAGCAACTTGGGAAGTGATATTTTTCCTGTTGCTTTTGGTGCCTGAGACAATCTTAGTTCAAGGCCCTTTGTTTATATAGTTTTTCTTTGACCTGATGTGGGAATAGACTTTTGGATGCTATTAATTTCCACCATATCCTTACAAAGGTGACTTACATCCCCTGGGCCTGTCCCCTGGATGAATGCAGACCTGCACTGCTCTCGGTGCAGGCTGGGCAGGTCAGTTATGAGCGTGGTCATAAGAGAATGATTCTGAGCTTCCCTGGTCCTAGAAGGTCCCCAGCCAATACCTGGTTCTCACACAGGTGAGAGAGCCAGCGTTTGCCATCAAAGGGAACTGGAGGGAAGGGGAGAAAGCTGGGATTTGTACAGAAGCCACAATTGCATACTGGCTGAGGGGCCCCTCTGCTAACCCAGGAACTGCTCTGTGCTGAGCACCTTAGAACTGTCACTGTGGCCTGAAGATTAAGAAGTAGATGGGACAATACCTGGTGTCATTGTTGGAACATAGGTTTTGCGCGTTTATTTGTTCTGCCTGACCTAGCCTGAGCTAATGGACTGTGACCTATATTTAAGGCCAGTTGAAAGCAGATTTTAGAGCCTTTGTTAGTTCCTAAACCAGACAGGCAGCCTGGAGCTGAGCATACCTGGGGCCACCTTGTTCTCATGCAGGTGCTGCTCTGCCTTTTCCGTCACTCTTGTTGGGATCCGGTGCAGCAGAACAGGGCGCCATCTGCCGTCCGTGCCTGTGTTCCTTCTGCAGATCCCCTGGGCCAGTGGGGTGCCCTCACCATCCTTGGCAGAATGCATCCCTGGTGGAGCGTGGACTTGCTGGACCCCTGAAGGCAGGGCCTTCAGGAAGGCTCAGTGACAGCTAGCGTTACTCTCTAATAGGGCGCATTGCCCTTATTTTGTGGAGTTCTCTTCTCAAATTTGTTCTTTGTCCTGCTATTTGCTTCCTTCTGTGGCCGTCTGCAGTAGCCATCCCGGGTAAAATGGGAAGACCTTGTCTGGAAGAGCTTGGCATTGACACGTGGGAAGTCTTGTCACCATGGCCCCAGTAACCAGTTGGTACCTTAGAATTAAATGCCTGCTCTTTGTCTCACATGCATTAGTGTCTAGGACAAAGGGAACACAAGGGTGGAGGTACAATGGGAAAGGGGCTAGAAGAAGCAGACCCTCTCTGAAGGCTGGTCAGTGAAACCTTGGAGCCTTAAACCTCTGTCCCACACAGGCCACCAGAAGGGCAGGAGAGACAGCTGAGGCTCAGGGCTCTGCAGTGTGCTCCCTGACCCTTCTCCGCTGAACCAGTGTTTTGCCACCAGCTTGAGCATCCCCAGCCTGTCACGCCACTGCTCTTTCCCTCATGCTGTGTCCTGCCCCGTCCAGCTCAGCTGTCACTTGTTGGTGATACTTCTTCTCAGGCAGATGTTGGTGTGAGCACTTGTCCCCATTGCTCTACCTCCCTGTGGTTTAATGACCGATTTATGGATGTGCCTGCCTTTGATGAGTGGAGACAGTTTCTTCCTCATCCTGGGAGCTCTTGATGTGTGTTTGCTGATGGAGTTAGGAGGGGACTGTGATCATCCCGCCCCGCCCCCACACCACCACCTTAGGAAGCTATGGAGCTTCTGTGGGTGTAAGAAGAGGAAGTGGTTAAAGAAAACAGAAAACAACCTTGGGCCTCACAAGATGTTCTTTACAGCCTCTCCTTGGCGGTTGGTTACCTTTACCCCACCCAGTTGCAGGAAGGTTCTGATTCTTCTTGCCTTCAACGTGTCTGAATTTAGTCTTAAATCTGTCAATGAATAGAACAGTTCTTGTTCCAGTGTTTCATTGATATAAGTTTTACTCTTTCAACTAGATTGTAAATTCCTTAAAACTCCTTAAAATCCTGAGTTTTATTTCCTAGGAAACAGTCTAATGGAAAGGAGATAGTGCCCCAAGGTAACTTTTGTCTCAACCTCTGCGCCCTCCGTGAAATCAGAGAACTGGACCAACACCCTGGGATTTTGTGCCTCTGGCCCAGCTCCTTGCTTATCCCTCTTGCTACCCAACACAAGATCTATCCCCACATCTACTGAGTTAACTGAACTTCCTCACCTCTCGAGTACCTGTTTGAGCTCTTGGGACCAGGAACAGCATTACTGAGACAGGAATGGGGTGGACTTCTATAGACCCCCTATGGGCTGCCTTGCTCCTGCCCTCTACTGAGAAGTTTTGGGCCCCGAGACACTGCCTGGTCCTCTAAGTCTGCATCAGTTCTATACCTTTGTATGTGTTGTTTTGTTCCTTTAAATGTAGGATAGACTTGGAGGTGGAAGCTGGCTGTGCCAACTGTCCAGGAATCTGGGAGGAAGGGCAGTTCAGGAGCCACATGTTTCCATACTGGCCACCTATGGGCACACTCCTGCCTGTTTTCCAAGGGCGCTTGCCTCCTGTTGGATCAGCAGGATGGTATCAGTTTAAAAAACAAAACAAAACATTGAATCCCTTATTGGGTCCCCAACTGGAAGAGGTAATAAGGGACTGTTTGCATTGTGTTTATTTTCCTTTCGCACTTGAATTTGTGGGCTTCTTGAAGGCCAGGAGTGGCTTGTTTTCTGTTCTGAGGATTTGTTGTTCATACACTTCTGTGTTCCCAGCTGCAGTTTTCGTTCCCAGACTTTCCACCCTGGGTCTCTCTGTCCAGTCAGCTGTGTGTTCTTTCTCAATGTCTTGTTCTAGTTGCTCCATTCATTAATCAGGCATGCCCCCAAAGATTGTAAACCTCATGGGGAGCAAACACCCCTTTGACCCTGAAGGCCTGTAATTTTAAGGATTGAGGGTTTGAATCAGGGGTCCCTCCTTCCAGGAACCCTGGGATGGGAGTGCAGAGGAATATTTCTCGGCTGGGCACTACCCAAATCATCCCTGATCCTTTGGAGGAGACTAGGTGATGGGGGGAACTTGTCTTAGATGACATGAGTGCCCAAGTACTGGAGGAGTGGCCCAAGTGATAGAACACCTACCTGCCTAGCAAGCGTGAAGCCCTAGTTCATACTGGTTCAAACCCTAGCTCCCCGTGCACCATAAAAAAGTGCCAAGAAGTAAGAGGTGACTCGGGAAGACAAGACAAGTTTTGCACCTTAAATAAATGCAATTTCTATTAGTCAACTATACCCCAAGAAAGCTGGGGAAAGGAAAAATTAAATTGGGATGAGGCCAAGACTGCGAAAGAGAAATCCATGGCGCTGTATCTTTGGCAAAGGTTAGGTTGAGTCACTAGACAGAAGGCAGTCAGAATTACCCTTGAAAAATACCTCAATGTTAGAAAGTGACAAATTACTGTTTATTAAATATAATGTGACCTTTTATTCCTTTTGATGTTGGCAACATTGGTTCATATGAGTTCTGTATGCCATCCTTGCTCTATGAGGAGTATGTCTTTTAAACACCAGAATCATACTTGGCTAGAATTTTTGATTCTAGGAGAGATGGGCTTATCTTCCTATTTTAATATCCCTTCATCTTTTTTGCCTTTGTGTGGTTGTACTCGCAGACTGACAAACAATAATCCTGAGAGCTCTGAGTTCTAACTAATATAAATGCTAAAGGTATATAAAATCTAAATTCCTCAAATTCTCTGCTTTATCACCAGGTTGCTGGTGGGGGCACCTCGGGCAGAAGCCCTTCCACTGCAGAAGGCGAACAGGACAGGAGGCCTGTACAGCTGTGACATCACCTCTCGGGGACCGTGCACACGGATTGAATTTGATAACGATGGTATGTATGTTCTGCCCTCACTCTGTGTCCATTTGGCTAGCTTCCCTGTACTCCACAGGAGAGGTACAAGCATTTATTCGTGCAGAGAGGAACTCTTTTAATTGCATCTTGACCTGAAAATATGTACTTTCTAAATCACATAGGAGGCTGTTTCACTACTTGTCTTGATCCTGGTTTCTTAACTGATATGGCGTGTTCATGTTGCCACCTAGTGGTGTACCGAGGTTCTACAAGAGGTGGTCGCAAAACTGAACTAGCAGTGAAAAAAGTGGACTGTGTGCATCCTGCTCAAGCAACCAAAAGTTATCACTTGCTGTTAAAATATTTGGGAGAAAGACTATTTTATTTATTTATTTTTTGGTGCTAGGGGCCTAACCCAGTTACCTTGCACACTCAAAACAAGTTTCTGCCACTAAACTACATCTCTAGCCTTGAAAGACTTAAGTATCAGACCATTCTGAAATGAGAGCTGACCAATGTGGATAAAATTTGCCCTGCTGTCTCATATGGACACTGGTTTTGTGAGGCATCTGGGTGGCTGGAAGGTGGTGTAGTGTAGGCTGGGTTGACATCCAACCCCTGATTTCTATAGGTTGAGCAGACCTGTTAGTGTACTGAAAAACTCCTTCCAAATGAATTTGGTGGACCTGGCCTAAGCAGATGTGCAGAGTCACATTCTTATTCTCTCACTGCTTTATCTTACAGGAATAACATTCGTTATTTTTCATTGATTAGAAAATAATAAATGTTAATTGCAGGAAACGTGTAAGATGCAATAAAGAAAAGCAACATACTATATCTGTAACATTTTGACATTTTTCCTTCTGTCTGCTTGAGTGTGATTCAAGGTTAAAAGCCATGCTGGCAGAGTGCCTCAAGTGATAGAGTGTCTGCCTAACAAGCATGAGGACAAGAGTTCAAACCTCCAGTACCTGCCACCAAGAAAAAAAAAAGAGAGAGATTGAAAGCCATGACTGTCTTCTCATTAAGGAAGACAAAAAATTGGATATAGGATTGGATATAGGATCATAGAGTAGATTTAAATTGATACTGAAATGAGCACATGATGGTATTTGTGGTTTCTCTTTCCTCTCTTTTCTGGCTAAAAAGTAAATACATTACAACATTGCTTGTCAGCTGCTGGTGAATCTGAGTCCTTATCTCTCTCCAGTAAGGACCAGTTCATGCTATTATATAAAAAAAAATAATAATCATTTCTCTGTTCTTTTGAGATGAGAATGCATTGTTCTGGACTGAGTAACTGAATTTACTAGGAAGTGAGCCTTGGAGTCAAGACAGCTTGGAAACAGTTTCTGGTGTTTTTGTTCACTTGTTGGTTTGTAGTCTGCAGTACCCGAAGTGTTAACTGTGTGTGTAACCTGTGTTACTTTTCACAGCTGACCCCATGTCAGAAAGCAAGGAGGACCAATGGATGGGGGTCACTGTCCAGAGTCAAGGTCCAGGGGGCAAAGTGGTGGTAAGTGTAGATAAGTCCCTTCACTCAAGTGTTCCTTAACTTACAGCGGTAAATAAGACAGAGCCCCTGCCTGCAGGGCCTTTTCCTTCTACCAGACTCCTTAACTTAAAACTGAAATTGATAAAAAGAAACCAAAGCATCACTGTTCTGTGATTTGTGATATACTCTGACACAGTCCTACAACCTGCTTTTTCTTTATAGTTTCAGATTCAATAACTCTTTATTAAATATTCCTAAAACTCTAGATGGTCTTAAAACAAAAAAGCAAAGGCAAACTAGACATAGTTTCTGTCCTAGGAACTTTGTAGTTCTTGTAGGCAGAAGTACTATGGAAATGGCTTGGGAAAGTGACATCAGTTAATTTTAAACTCTTGCTCGCTCTGAACTTCTTCAAATGAAAGTGTTGGCAAAGAAAAGAGGAGTTGTTAGTTCCACATGGTCTGGAATATGGTAACCCTTTTTTGTCTCTCAAAATCTGGTCGCTGTTAACATTTATACAGAAGTAGGGGAAAAATGAGAATTTTAGTGATCATTGAATTTTGATATTTAAGGGGCACATCATGGGAAATGTACTTGGGTATTATAAAGTATTTTCTGACACCAAAACTACATTACATGGAAGGTAGCCATGAATGCCCTGCAGAAATTATAGAGATTATTTCATTTCTTCTGGCAGGGTAATTCTCTCTGTCTTTTTAAAATAGGACGTAATGTTTCAGCTAAGATTGTAGGCTAAGACTTATTATAAGGAAATAGTGTAGGTAGAAAGAAAATGCCTTTGTTTTAGCTGTGTTTGCTTGATCCTTGTGAAAATATGTCCACGATTTTTCTCTTCCAGACATAATTATTTTCACGCTGATATGATGGTTTTACAGCCACTAAAAGCCAATTAAGAAAATGAAGTGAGAAGGTGTTTCCTTTTGTTTATGTGACAGATAAATTCACAGATAAATTGCCTGTGGATTCAGACTGGCGTTTCAATATTTGGATTGGAGCGTTACTCTCTGAGAATAAGACAGAAGTCCTAGTGTCTGTGTTTGATAACAGTCTCTTCAGTGCCATTTGGGGGGAACATTTGCTGGTTTGGGATAAGGATTCATTTAATCATCCTGTTTGGAGTTAACCTCTTTATTATTGTCTTTTTTTCACCAATTCTATATGAACTTTTAAATAACAAGGTTTATGGACATGAATAGGCTATTTTATTCCATCTGTTTTAGACATGTGCTCATCGATACGAAAAAAGGCAACATGTTAATACAAAGCAGGAGTCTCGAGACATCTTTGGGAGATGTTATGTCCTGAGTCAGAATCTTCGGATTGAAGATGATATGGATGGAGGAGACTGGAGTTTTTGTGATGGCCGATTGAGAGGCCATGAAAAATTTGGTTCTTGTCAGCAAGGTGTAGCAGCTACTTTTACTAAAGACTTTCATTACATTGTGTTTGGAGCCCCGGGTACCTATAACTGGAAAGGTATGATGTCCAAATTTACAGAAACAGTATTAGAAGGTCTGGGTAGTTCCAACAGTGTGCTTAAGTACATGCTTTAGTATGTTAAGTTAAAATGTATTGCAAAGCATTTGTATGTTATAAATGTGGGTAGAATGTTAAAATTTCTCCTCTGACTGACAATTTAAATAATGGAAATGTTTTAGTGTTGAGATTTTTTTTACCCAAGTTACTAGTACTTTATGTAAGTACAACTAGTAAACTTTTTTCTCTAGGAATGTAGTAATTACCAGGAGTTGATCTTGCTGCTTTGTATTTGTTTCATGAAGCTAGATGGTTTCATTTTAAGTTAGTGATCTGAAAACTGAGAAGGATTAGGTGACATATACAAAGTATTAATGCAGAGGTTTCTTTCATTGTACATTATCTTAAAAGACCATGTTTTACTTATACTCAGAAAGTTAGAAGGGCATTCCATTTTCCATCTAGCTTTATGGCATTATAAAGATAGTTCTTGGATTCATGGGCCATTTTTTAAATTACTAGAACAAATTTCTTTCACATAAAATTTTACATGAACGTGGTTAACAGTCTTAAAACTCACCTCTTTCCTCTGCCTTTTCTTCTTCTAAACTTTTCTTCCTGTACTCCCTGATAGCACAGGGGATCTTTATTAGGAACCATTTGTTTTATTTTGTTTCATCTTCATTTTTTTTTGTCATTTTTACCATTTCATTCCTTTAGGGATTGTTCGTGTAGAACAAAAGAATAACACTTTTTTTGACATGAACATCTTTGAAGATGGGCCTTATGAAGTTGGTGGAGAGACTGACCATGACGAAAGTCTCGTTCCTGTTCCTGCCAACAGTTATTTAGGTAGGAACAAGTGTAGATGGTATGTCTACCTTTTCAGACGCTGGGACTCTTTCTAGAAGGGCCTGCAGGCTCCTGGACTTCTAGGCTAGGATTTAGGCCAAGGGGATCCAGGGGACTTGGCTGCATTTGCTGGAACTTGATATACATTGGATCTGGGGACAAGCTGACTGCTGGCTGGGGTCCTTCCCTTCTGGCCTAGGCTTCCTGGAAGGAGAAAGTAACCAGTTACACTTAAAAATCATCTGTCCTGCCCTGCTACTGGGAAGTCTGTCTCCTGAGCCGATGGCAGCATCTATAACCTGCACCAGGTCATTTGAGTATCCGTGAGAAAATGCCTAAGTGTTCGCGGGGGCCGAGGCCCCTTCCCAATCCCTTCAGCAAGGCCCCTTTCTAGGAATGCTCGTTAAGAACTACACTTATGAAGTTACTTTCAAGTGCAGGTCAAGATCTCCAGTCCTTCCTCTATGATTGCCATTTTCCAAGGGTTGGCCCTCCGTCTGGATGGGGGCTCCCATGTCACAGGGCCCAGTGGGTAGCATGGGGGCTCCTGGCTGAGTCTGAGCAGGACTGCTAAGGCGGCTCGGAGGACACCCAGATTGTGTCTAAGTGCCAATTCCTTAACTCCTGATGCTTGTTTGCATTACTAATGGTGTCCTAAATTATTCCTGTGCATTATGGTAATTACACAAAGGCTTTTAAAAGCTTTAATTCTTGGTATGAGTTGACATAAAGAATAATTACTGTTCATTTCTTGGAAAAAATGTAAAAAATATTCTAAACCTAAATAGTAACCTATTTTAAAAAATGATGAGAAAAGTATCCACGTGCTAGAGATGTTACTGGAACAATAGAAGATTTAAAAAGGAACAAAGCAGATTTAGGTAGATAAATAATTCCAATAAAGTGCTAGTAAATATAAGTTCTAATTTTACAACTATGCATGTATGGTACTATTAATTTTTAAAAAATTATTCAACTCATATACCCCATCCCTCTCAAATAAAAACTTGATATGAAGATATAAAAGAATGAAGACAAAAATTATACTTACCACTTACTTATAAGCATCTACTGTGTGCTTTGTTCTTTGCAGTGCTGGGAATCAAGCCCAGGGCCTTGCACATGCTAGGCAAGTGCTCTACCACTGAGATACACCTACTCAGTGTTTTATGTATCTGCAATACAATGAGGGTCTCCCACCCTTCTATTTAACTGATAAGTAAACTATAACTTAGGAAGCTTCATTTCCTAGCCCAAGTTTACATTAATAACTCCCCTGCCAAGGAGAGAACAACTCTTAAAAGTGAAGGGAGCCATCTGGGTGTGTGAATGGTCTGCTTATTGGCCTTGTAGGAACAGTAGGGGCTCAGGACTAGTGGTCTGCAGTCTCAGGTATTAAACCTGGGTTTTCATAGTAAAAGCCTTTGAAGGCAAGTGTTAACAAACCGATATTTTATTTGAACGTATATTAACCCCCAGTCTCTTAAGTCAAATGTGATACTTAGGGAATATTTCTCATGGGCAATGTTTAAATCTAATTGTTCTGGTCAAGAAATTAATACTTTGGTCTTTTAGATGCCCATGGATTTTATAAACAGAGCTGCTGTTAGAACATAAGAAAATAGGAAGTGTTTTTTTTCTTAAACACATTTGCTACTTTTAGAATGGACTTCTTCCAAAGTGGATGTCTGAGAAAGAAATCAAGTTCATGTTATATTTTGCTTGTCTGTCCTAGGAGGGAGGCTGTCATTTTTCAAAAGATCAATGGGTTTAGGGGATAAAATGATCTTTCTGAGGTTCAGGAAGCTGTCACGGGGGAGCTTGCTGGATACGGTAGTGGCCTCATCCTCCAGCGAGAATGGCAGTGGGCGTGCTGCCTCTTACCAAGCATAATGATTTTTTTTTCAATCTCTTCCATCCCGTGTGTGTGTACAGGCCTGCTGTTTCTGACCAGCATTTCCTACACAGACCCTGATCAGTTTGTTTATAAAACACGGCCTCCCAGGGAGTTGCCTGTCACATCCCCTGATGTGACGATGAATAGCTACCTAGGTTTGTGACCTCTGAGATGACAAATAAATTGTCTTGGTCGTGGTCATTTAAAAATTTTTTTGATCCATACAGAGCATAAATCTTTTTATTTTTCTATTTCATTTCAAGTGAAGCTCACACAAAAAGCATGCCATGGTTGAGGCTCTGCCGTCAGATGGTTTTCAGAACTGGGTTCAGTGATATTGCTCTGTTCTGAAATTGTGGTTCATTGTATTTTTCAACTCACTTCACAATTTGAGAACCGCAGCAGTAGTGGTGATGCTTTTCGTAAATAAAACCCAATAGGAAAGGGTGAGCTTATGTTGTTCTACATCTGTCTCACCTTTACATAGAAAAATTGGGGGAGAGTTTTGATGATTGACATTTATGTTTATAATCTAGCAAGTCTTGGTGTCTGAAATCTGACCTCCTACCTGGTGCTTGATGATTGGGTATTCCAACCTTTGCTGCCCTTTGAACAATTACTAAATGATCTCAGTGACAAGTCACCTCTGTTGTTTACATGGGGTTCTCAAATACCACATGTCATCATGCATGGTTTTGTTTGCATGCTTGTGTCTGAAAACTAAGTGGGTCCAGAATAATAAAATGCAGTCTGTGGTGTATCAATGATGTTAGCATTTGTTCTTGCCTGATTACCAAGGATGTTGTTGAGTGCAGATGTTGTTCATATCAAAATAGTGTCACTATGTTACAGCAGAACGCCATGTAACGTGCTCAAGAATGTGAGCCAGGTTGTATTCTCTGCACATGTGATGTAACACTACTGTGAGACTTCAGTCTCTAGCCTGCTCTCCTTTTGGCATGGTTTTAATATTAAAATAGAGTCTAGATTGATTAAGATGCATGAATACTTCATGATTCAAGTTTATAAATGCTAAATAACATAAAAGCTTTTCTTTAAAAGTTTTAATATCCACGGACAATAGCAGAATAACCCAATCCTTTGTCCTTGGGTTAAATCTCTTAACTATGTGACTCCTGTTTCACATATGAGAGCTGGGGCAGGGGTCAGGAGGAGAGTGGGGTGGGGAACCCAAGGAAAAGGTTGATGAAATTACCAGTACCAAGTATGTTTAAAATACAGGATTGGTGTGTGCGAGGCTCTATTTTTTTTTTTTCTAGGTTTTTCTTTGGACTCAGGGAAAGGCATTGTTTCCAAAGACGAGATCACTTTTGTATCTGGTGCTCCAAGAGCCAATCACAGTGGTGCTGTGGTTTTGCTAAAAAGAGACATGAAGTCTGCTCATCTCCTCCCTGAGTACATATTTGATGGGGAAGGCCTGGCTTCTTCATTTGGCTATGATGTGACCGTGGTGGACCTCAACAAAGATGGGTAAGGACGTGTTAGGTTATTTTATACTGTAATCATGGCTGCTTGGATGGGCTTCTGTAGGTCTGGAAGAGAGCTCTCCTTTCAAGGTAGTCAAGTCAAAGAATACATTCGTTTCCAAATTTTAGCCATACCATTCCATCTTCATCATTTCTGTCATGGCAGCAGACATTCATTGTTCTCCCCAGGCTGTAGGATTACCTTTTTTGGTTTTGTTTAGTTTGGTTTTTTTGGTGGCACTGGGGTTTGAACTTGGGCCTCCCACTTGCTAGGCAGGTGCTGTACCACTTGAACCAGGCCTTCAGCCCATTTTATTTTAGTTACTTTTTCAAATAGGGTCTCGTATTTTTGCCTGGAGCTGGCATCAGACCACAGTTCGCCTACCTATGTTTCTCAGTAGCTGGGACCACAGATGTGTACCACCAAGCAGAGCTTATTGGTTAAGCTGGGGTCTCAGTAACTTTTTTTTAGCCTGGGCTGATCTTAAACCATGATCCTCCTGATCGCCACCTCTCGAGTAGTTGTGATTACAGGTATGCACCACCACACCCAGTGTAGGAGTACCTTCTTGATTTCAGTTTTCACTGATGTCTTGGAATCATGGATCCATGAGAATTAAAATTTGAAAAAAAATTAACTCATAAAATGACACCTTTTGGGTTATAATACATATATACATGCAAATGTCACGATTAAACACCCTGTATAGCTATCTTAAACAAAAAAGAGAAAAGAAAATGACACCTATGTGATTGTTCTGTAGTTTCTTTTTTTTGGTGGTATTGTGATTTGAACTAAGGGCCTCACTTGCTAGGCAGGCACTCTGCCATTTGAGCCACTCCACCAGCCCTTTTTTCTGTGGAGTGTTTTTGAGACAGGATCTCATGAACTATTTGCCTGGGCTGACTTTGAACTGTGATCCTCTTGATCTCTGCTTTCCAAGTGGCTAGGATTACAGGCATGAGCCACTGGCACCTGGCTGTTCTATAGTTTTTTAAAGGGCTGTTGAAACATCCAGAATCTCCTGTTGATAGTAGGGACTGGTAACAAAGTCAATACATAGATGATTGATGCCAGTTGGGGATTGGGGTGGAGTAGTGGGTCTTTGTAGGGGTTGGGTTTCTACTGTACTGAAGCTCTAACTTGAGAAACTGACTTCTTTGAGTTCCTCCCCTCCATATTTTCCTTGGGGGCATTTCTTACAGGCTACTTTGGTTTTCTGTTCAGTGTTTTCACTGATGAGATATAAATTCTCAACTTTAGGTTTCTTCTGCTATCTCTGTATCCTCAGTACCTACACTGGTAGTATTTTCCCTCTGCTTGTCGATCTAGCGAATAGCTTACAGTTCTTCCCCTTGGTCCTGTTTTTAGGTGGCAGGATATAGTGATCGGAGCGCCACAGTATTTCGATAGAGATGGAGAAGTTGGAGGTGCAGTGTATGTCTACATAAACCAGCAAGGTCAATGGAATAATGTCAAGCCAATTCGTCTTAATGGAACCAAAGACTCTATGTTTGGAATTGCAGTAAAAAATATTGGAGATATTAATCAAGATGGCTATCCAGGTACATAAGGGACTGAAATGGTTGTGATTCACAGATGGATTATTTGGTTATGTACATGAAGAGTACTTGTGGCTTCTTAGTCCAAAACATTGTATAGAAGTGTTTAAAAAAATGGCATGTTTTTAAAATGTGATGTTGTCAACAGATATTGCAGTTGGAGCTCCCTATGATGATATGGGGAAGGTTTTTATCTATCATGGATCCGCCAATGGAATAAATACCAAACCAACACAGGTAACCAAACAACCTGGATTTCTACAAGTAGTCTGTTTTTTGCTTTGTAATATACTGTTTAGGTTTAAATAAATTTTCGTAGTTTTCTTGTTTATTTAAAAGTCCATAATAGTATAAAAATTTTTATATGTGTTACTGGAAGATAGCTTTGAAATACATAAATGTAATGACCCTACTTCTTTAATTGTAAAATTCCTTAGCTAAATAATCCAGAGCAAAAGACTATTCTATCCTGACAGCAAAAGGAGATGGAACTATGATATATTTCCCTTAGTAGTATACTTAATAGAGATAAAACTGAGCAAACAAAATAGGTGATTATAATTACATGGAGAATTCAGATACCAAGAATTTTAAGTTAGGAAGTTTGGTTGAAATACCCTGAGTGACTGACTATACAGTAAATAGACATCAAAAACGGGCTCTCTTTTCCTTTGAAATATGTGTCACTCAGATACCTTATGAAATAAAATGTATGCAGTGTTAGATTATATGTATACTTATACTTTATAATTTAATATGATTTAATTTTAAGTGAACTCAAACTTCAGTAGAAACATGTCTTTCTTGACGCATAGACAAGCTGCTTATTTTGGTAGCCTGTCTCCATTCTGATGCCCTTTATTTCAGGTTCTCGAGGGCACCACGCCTTATTTTGGATATTCAATTGCTGGGAATATGGACCTGGACAGAAATTCTTACCCCGATGTTGCTGTGGGTTCCCTCTCAGACTCAGTGACTATTTTCAGGTGTGTTGTCTTTGACTTTAGTTAAGCGTGTTCTGTAATCAGGTTATACTAACATTTTGAGCTTTTGAACTGAAATTTTGTAATGCCTATTGACTTCAAAGGCTTATATGAAAATTTGAAGATATTTCTTTTTCTTTTGAGGGCAGTGTAAAAATATAATAAAAATATCTTGTAAGGTCTTGCTAATAATAGTAACTGGGCACTGGTGGCTTACACCTGTAATTCTTGATACTTGGGAAGCTGAAATCAGGAGGATCAAGGTTTGAGATCAGCCCAGGCAAATAGTTCACAAGACTCCATCTCCAAAATAACTGGAGCAAATCTTTAAAACCAAAGCACATAAAATATAACAGTACAAAGCACTTAAGGAAATCCTTTATAACTCAGCATTCATTCTTAAACTCCAGAAATTTGAGTCGTAGTCTTAGTTCTTTACTTTCTGTGATTGTATATTTTACAAATTTGGTATCATAGTGTATATATGTATTTTTTTACTTTGTGGTGGCACTGGGGTTTGAACTCAGGGCCTCATGTTTGCTAAGCAGGGGCTCTTACCACCTGGGCCACTCTGCCAGCCCATAGTGTACACATTCTTTGTAGCCTACTTCTGTGCACTTTTGATCATAGTGGACTTACCCCATGCCTCTCGTACTTTTCTAAAGTGAAGTCACAGCTGTCTGGGACGTGTTATGTGACAGGTCCATTGTTTATTTAATTCTTGATTGTTTCCTTAGGATAAATTTCTGAAAGTGAAATTGCTTCATGCACTTGAAGACTTGATTCAGGTTCACCAAAGTGACCTCCATCTTGGAGGTGACAAAGGTACCTGTCAGCTGCTTTTAAGTCTTCCTTTCCTGCTGTTTTCATTGCTGTTAAAAATCACCATTAAAAGCTGATTTTTTAACTTTTTTGTCTTAAAAGTGTCACATTCTTGTTCTCAAAAAAAATCAGTACGGAATTGTAGAAAGTACAAGTTTCTAAATATCCCTACTTTCCTCAGAACAGCAGTTTTGAGTATCTCTTATACTTTTAGGATCATCAGAAGACCACACTAACTGTTCTCTAATCTAGTTTGGTTTTTGGTGACACTGGGGATTGAATTTGGGGCCTCATGCTTGCTAGGCATAGCACTTTACCACTTGAGCCATGCCTCCGGTCCTTGTTTGCTTTTTCAGTTTGGTTTTCAGCTAGAGTCTTGTGCTTATTGGCTGGGCTGGCCTCGGACCACGATTGTCCTATCTCTGCCCTCCAGTTGCTGGGATCACGGGTGTGTACCACCACTCCCAGCTTGTTGTGGCGATTGGGTCTCATTAACTTTGCTCAGGCTGGCCTCGAATTGCAATCCTATCTCTGCCTCCCACGTAACTGGGAATACAGGCTTTTGTGCTACCACACCCAGCCCTGGTTTGTAAAAATTTAATGCCTTTTCTGTACTTGTCAATATAGATACATAGTATGACTTAATATTCTACCATACACATCCAATTAACTGATTGTCATTGTGAACAATATGTTATGGCACATTGTTTATATCTCTGTTGCACTTTTTTTCTTTAAAGAAAAATTCCCAGAAATTGTAGCACAATTTTGCATTACTCTCAGATAAGTCATACCAGTTTATATTGATGGCAAAACCTACGAGAGGTCCTGTGTTCTCACGGCCTTACCAAGATTGAATGTGAAGAATGTCGTTTTTGTCCATGTGATAAGTTCTCCCACCTGGGTTTTTTTTGAAACCACATTTTCGATACATAGTGCAGGCTGGCCTTGGACTCAAAATCTTCCTGCCTCAGCCTCCCAAGTGTTGGGATTACATATTTTGATTTAATTTGCTTTCTTTGAGTGCTAGTCCCATTTGATTGGTCCTTTTAAAAAAAAAATAATAGACTTTATAGTTAGACTGAAAAACACAGAGATTGGTGAGAGACAGATGCTAGACTGAAAGAGGCACAGGAAGACAGGTGAGGAGACGGCTTCAAGGTCAGCACAGGCTTTAAGGAACCTGCTGAGGGGGTTCTCCAGCAGACCCAGGCGTAGTTATAGGAGGTTAGTGGGAGAAGTCCCAGGAAGGTCCCTGGGTGGGACAATCCTCAATCTGACCCTCCCCTCCCGAGATAATGGCTTAAGGGTGGGAGGTCATTCTTAAAGGAGGCTGGGTGGGGAGTTTCTAGTAAGCCATCTACAAGGAGGCACAGGGAAGGGGTCCAGTCCTAATGTGGCTGCCCTGTGTTCACCCTAACAAGTCATTTTTATTTCTTAAATATCTTTAGAAAAATGGACAGTAATGTTCAGTGAAACCCTTGAGTCACAAAACTGTTGTCTGTATGCTCAGTGCCTTCATCATCCTTAGACTTTCTGAAGAGTGTTAAGTATAGATGCAGCTTCCATACCTAAAATCTAATTCCAAAAGCCCCTCTGGAGAATTAGAAATCAACTCCAGGACAGCTCTTTTTGCTTTCCCTTGGGTTTTTTGTTTGTTTTGAGGTGGGATCTTGCTGGTTGCCTAGGCTCAAGCGATATCTGCCTCAGTCTCCCAAGTAACTGGGACTATAAGCATGTGCCACCATGCACAGCTTCCAGAATACTTCCTTGGAGATTTTTATATGAGGGAAGAAAAATTGTTTCCTGGCTAAATAGTAAGACCTATGAAAGCAGAAGTTAGTTATAGATGGCAAAAGTAGGAGATATTAAAATAAGTGGAGAAGCTGGAGGTATGGCTCAAGTGGACCTATCTATAAAAACAAGTGAAGAGTATAGTGTGTCTGTGATGTTAATGAGGTCAAAGGAGGAAACCAACAATTTAATTTTTAAACAAAACTTAAATTAGCCAAACAATTGAACACATGTATGAGATTTAGAAAGGAAAGCATTCAGGGGGGGTTGCCATCTGAGTAGTGGGTTATGTTCTTGTTTTTTGTTTATTTATTTTGCGGTACTAGGGCTTGAACTCAGGGCCTTCACCTTGAGCCACTCCACCAGCCCTTTTTCTGTGATGGGTGTTTCTGAGATAGGGTCTCACATTGCCCAGGCTGGCTTTGAACTGCAATCCTGATCTGTGCCTCCTAAGTAGCTAGGATTATAGGCGTGAGCCACCAATACCCTGGTGTGGTTTGTGTTCTTGGTGATGAACAACAGTCTTGAGGCCTTGACCTTGAAATCACCTCAGTGGGAGTTCCTGAAGTACTGGGGCTCTCCCAGGTTAACACACTCAGAAATTGTTCTGTCACTGGTGGTTCCCAAACACTGCTTCTGTCTGCTATTTCTCTTCCTGTGTAGGTATTAACTTTAAAACAATTCAACATTTTTAAAAGGTAGAAGAGTGTGACATTCAGCTATTTTAGCAAGCTTCCCTCCAAAGGCAATTTGAATTTCTTGTTTAAGGTATAGCCTTCAACTATCAAGAAAACTTCTTGTTCCAAAATCTCTTAAGTTTTTCTAATAGATAACCAGACTTTAATACTTGCCTCTGCCTGTGGGTATTGATATTTTATACTTTTACCTTCCTGTCCTCAAACTAGTTTGACAATGAACCCTATAAGCTCTTTTCTTCTTTCCTCATAGATGGTATAAAAGTGAATTTCAAATTCCTTTCATGACAAGAGGAGAACAAACTCCTTCCTTTACAAATGAGGAAACTAAAGCCCAAGGCTTCCTTGATATTTTAAGGCTGTTATCCTGAGAGAACAAGGTGTAGTTCCTAAATCCGTCCAACCCCGGGCTGGATATCTTCCCACTAGATCATATGAGTGCTTCAGGGTAGTTAGTAAAAATAAATACCAATCCAACATGAGGCAGGTAAGCCAGCAAGAGCTGCTTTCTGTGTCAAAAACACATTTTTCATCATTCGTATATACTGTGTCCTCAAAATTGTGTATGTTGTATGTTTGAAAAACAGAAATTAAAGCAGACCTCAGGCAGAAATATGTGTTAAGATTTTTTGGAATTTATGCCACACAGATGCATTAATATTGTGACATGTGACACTCTCTACATCTATGGCAGCTGATTTTTAAGATACTTATGTGAGTAAGTACAGTAAGTAGAAAGTATGAACTTTTGCTATAGGAAGAGCAAAGGAGAATGTACAACTTTCATTCTTTTGAGACAGGGTATTGCTGTACAGTCCAGGCTGGCCTGAAATTCACAATCCTCCTGCCTCAGTCTCCTGAGTGCTAGGATTACAGGTATGCACCACCATGCCTGAGCCTAGGAATTTATCTTACAGATAAACTCATTGTGTGCATAGGTTTATGTATAGTGTCGGTCAACAGAAAGCCTAACAAGCACATGAATGTCTGCTGCGTAGGACTGGTCAAATAAAGGGTGTGCCACTGGTACAGCGCAACACCACAAGGTGTGAGAAACAATGAGCTAACTCTATCTTATAGCTATGAGAAGACCTCCAAAACGTTAACGAGACAAAGCAACATACAGAAGCACAAGCATAAAAAGCTACCATTTAGTTGCAAATGCTTGTGTTTTTATATTAAATTGTAGATGATGTTTGTAGTAGAAACATACAAGGTTCCTTGGGGGTTTGGGTGTAGTGTCATTGAGACATAATATTTGCTCTAAGACTGAAACTTACGTGTTGCCTGTATTACCCACTTATAAGAAGTTCTTGTATTTTTAAACATAGTACTTTAAGTATTGTATAATTTAAGTTGTATAAACTTATACCTATTAACAGTTACTTCAACAATGGGGACAAAATTATGTGTGTGAACATTTCTGTTCTTGTGATGCACCGGGCAGCTGATAACAATGCTGTCTAGTTTGTGAGTGAGTCTCATGTTCAAGGTAACAAAAAGCTGAGCTTGTTCTTCATTCTTTGTCTTCAGATCACGGCCTGTGATTAACATTCAGAAAACCATCACGGTAACTCCTAACAGAATTGACCTTCAACAGAAAACAGTGTGCGGGGCACCTAGTGGGATCTGGTGAGAATTCCTCTGTGCTCCTGCTTTCCGATGCCCCTGTTGCCCTGATGAACCATGGGGAAGGTCCTAGGTGTGCTGGGCAAAGGGAGGAGAGACCTGTCCCCAGTGGCTCTATCACATGTGCTCATCAGTGGGCAGTAGAGGGACTGGAGAGTGGGAACATACTGGGTTTTTCCGCTGCAGCAGTTGCAGAAGTATCTTTTAAGAAGTATGTGTCTTGTTTTATTCAGCCTCAAGGTTAAAGCCTGTTTTGAATATACTGCCAAACCCGCTGGTTATAATCCTTCAATATGTAAGTACCCAGTACATTAAATGTTTTTCTCTCTGCCAGGTTGAAAGTTTTGCATACACTATAGGAAAAGCAAAACTGCAGTAGTCAAAGTGGGTCCGTAAATTCTTGTTTAAAGAATTAAGTGTATCTGTGGTCTCCTCTTTAATTAAGAGGGCACAGCACTATGAGGGAGGAAAAACTCTTCATTTTGGTCCCCATTTGAATTTTCCAGAGCTGAAGGTTTGGGACAAATACCTTGAAAAAGTACCAATTTGCTATTACAGTGGTTTCCTCTGTTTTGGACTTTGAAAGGCCCTGTGATTTTGTGGTTGCAAGGCGGTGGGAGGTGGTGTGTGTAGAAGGGCACTGTAGGAGCCTGAGTACTGCTAGAATCGGAATCATTGCCAGGTTATGCTCTTCCTGCCCCATCTTCTCCAAAGAGGCCTCGAGGGTCTCCTTACTGGAGCTGTGCACCTGAGGTGAGGCCTCTGTGCACTTGAATGCCGACTCCGAGGAGTTAGAGGCTGAGGCTGTGCTGGCTGACTCCACTCACAGGACAAGCCCTTAGCCTTTGGGGTTTTCTTTCCCCATGAGTTAAAGACAATGCCTGTAACGGGCGTCAGTGGCTAGGATTATGGTGATGGTCAAAGGAGAAAATGTGATGGAAGGCGGTTTATCCTTTATATTGTCATACTTCCCTTTCTCTGTCATCCAAAACAGGGTTTTTGCCAAATTTTGACATGACTAAGATATTGTTTGTAGCTAAGGTCTTCTCTGGTATGTTTTAGTAGCAGCCATACCTCTTCAGGTGGCAGTCACTTGACTTGGTTACAGAGTCAAGGAAGGGGAGCAGGAATTTAAAGGAAATCCTTTCTTTAAAGAGGAAATAAAAAGAATGAGGGAATCATCAGCTCAGTGTACTCGTGGAGTCTGTATATCACCAAGAAAAGCTTTACGGAGGACAAGGTCAGTCTGTACTTCTCATATTATCAGTTCTTACTTCACCTTGAGTAATGAGTCCCAAAGTATTACTCTTTATTTTAAAAGATGTACCGTTTAATACCCGAGAATGTAACCAAATTCAAATAAACTAAGGTGGTTATTTAAACAAAAATCTACACATGGCAACAAGAAAACCTACATCATGACTCCTTGGGATCCTTTCAGTATCATTCGTGTTTTTGTGGGGTAAACTCAGTACAGCACCTTACACTTGCCTACCTGGATAACAGGCCTCTCCCCCTTATTGCAATGAATTACAGAGACAGGAAGAGCTGTGATTCTGGGGCAGAGAGAGAAACAAGGAAGCATTTTTATTCTGCTATTTTGATTCCTTTTTTTTTTTTTTTTCCAAACCACCCAGTTTGCCAATAGATGTGAAATCTTATTGGCAGTCCTTTCCCCAAATTAGCATTTACTATTTAAGGAAATGCAAGCTTTCTCCTAGTTTTATTGCAACATTAATGCCATATGCGTTCCTCTTATATTCTATAGCTACTCCACTAACCAAGTGTTTGTTGATGGCCTCATTGTCTTTTTTTTTTTTTTTTTTTTTTTGCTGTACTGGGGTTTGAACTCAGTCTTGTGCTTACTAGTCAGGTACTCTACCACATGAGCCATGCCCCAACCCTTTTGCTTTGGTTATTTTTGGGGGAGGGTCTCACGTTTTTGCCAGGGATAGCCTGGACCACAATCCTATTTATGAATAGCTGGGATGACAGGTGCACATACCCTGCCCAGCTTTTTATTGGTTAAAATGAGGTCTTGAGAACTTTGTACCCAGGTTGGTCTCAAAATTCAATCCTACCAAACAACCAGGATTACAGGGATGAGCCACCACACCTGGCTATTGATTGCCTGTTATGGATAGTACTTTTTCTCTTTGAGACATTCAGAGAACACTTTTACCACTTTTATTATTACTGGGAATGGAATAAAACAGAACTTCCACAAAGCTGCATAAGTTAATATATCTAGAATCTTCTTTCAGTGTCCCAAAGTGAAAGCTTATCGTCTAACCAGGATATTTTAACTTGGCATTCCTGAAATGTGGCGTTCATACATACAGATATTTATAATTGAGCCTTAATGACTATTCTACTTGGCTTGCCCCTCAGAAGGTCAGCAAAGGTGGCAGGCAAGGATTTTAAGATGACGTGAGTTGTCTGGCGGGTTACGGAAGGTTAGCGTGGGTTTGGAGGATAAGCGGTTTTAATGCGCCCACACCCTTTTGCCACGGGGGCACGCAGCATGTAGGCCTTTATCTGATTCATGGTGAAGTTAGCAGGTCACTGATAAATGGATGATGTCAAGGCTGCAGAGGGCCTAAAATGGGGAGCATTCCATTTGGCAGCTGTGACATTTAAGAATTCTTCAGATGGACATAGAAATTACTACTGAAACCATCGTGTCTCTAAATTTTGGTCTTGCATATCTGAATAGCTATCATTTCAGCATAAAAATGTTACATTTTGTGTGTGTGTGCACACGCATGCACAAACCTGCATTGGGGTGTGTGTGTGTGTTGGTGTAGAGCCAGTTACCCTGCTTCTGTTCGATTCTACAGGTCATGTTTCTCTCGCGTGCTGTGCTAGTTGCTGGGGAGGCTGTGGTGAACCAGGTTGGGGTTCCTATCCTAGTCTTGGCCTCGTTGTGCAAGACGATCTCAGTGCGTTAAGCATGGAAGGATTGGAGACGGGATGCTCTGGGGTGACGCAGAAGGGACCAGGACAGGCTTCCTGCAGGAAAGTGGTCTGGAGGAGTAGAGTTAGCCACGCAGGCTAGGGGTGTAGGAAAGGAGAGGGACCCACACAGGCGGAGAGGCATCTCAGCAGCAGTGTGAAGTGCCCAGTTTTTGTGTTCATGGTAGCCTTAGAGCTGGCGATACAGTCCCTCACTACATGGCCCTGGTCCTTTTATTCCTCTGCTAAAGAGAGTATTAAAATAGATGCTTTCAAATGGATTTCTTCCAAACCTAATGTGAAATAGTAGAATGCAGGTTGGTTGTTTTCTGTATTGTCTGAAGCAATTTTTTTCCCCTTGGGCTGCCTATTCTGGACTTTTGCCCACGTTAGTTGGCTTTTCCTTCTGGTGGCTCGTGAGTGTTAAATGAACATAAGTAATTTAAGTATTGGCCCATAAAAAACATAGTTAGCAGCTGTGTCCAGTGACTCGACAAAGGAATGCATTCTGAAGTCCAGAAATGAGATTTTGATAATCCAAGTCCTGGCTTGCTTCCAAGCTCCACTAGCAGAGGTGATCTGGAACAGGCTGTCCTATCTTGCCTGGCAGGTTACAGACTTCAGTCATAGGCACTCCGTGATGGCAACAAACATGCCTGCCAGCTGCTAAGAGAAATACTGTTTTCCATTTAGTTTTTTTTGTTTAAGTAAAAGATCGCCTCTTACTGTAAAGACTTCTCCATTTCTAGCACAAATTATTACTGTTTTAGAGAACTGCCTTTTATCAGTGCTTCTTAAACTTCAGGGTGTATGAGAATCACTTTGGGATTCTGTTAAAACACAGGTACCAGGTCAGCTGGCAGGAGGTGCTGCTTTCTCCTAGAGACCTTTCTGAGCAGCAAAGGTTCCAGGTCATGGAGGCACAGACTGTTTGAAGGGGGAGAGCCCTGAGAAAGTGTTAGGTAGTTCTAATTATCTGTAGTATTCTGTGGGTTCCTGAAATTTAGCCAGAAACTGAGTGTGAGCTGCTGCAGAGAGGTTTTGACTTATTCTCCAGCTCCCCCAGGTGGCCCAGTGAAAATTTGTCTTTAAGATATTGTTAACAGCAGTGGGAAAGAAAGGACAATTTCATTCAGAATTATTGAAAGGTGCCTCTATCAGGAAATATGAACAAAAACAAAGGCAGTAGGGAAAAGTGTTGTTCTATGAGGACTTAAAAGATTTTAAAAGAAGTTCAACATACTTGTAGCTGGATGGTACAGGAATCCGCTTTAGGTTAATTCAGTTCTGTTAATTTTATCTAGCAATTGTGGGCACACTGGAAGCTGAAAAAGAAAGAAGAAAGTCTGGGCTGTCATCACGAGTTCAGTTTCGAAACCAAGGTTCTGAGCCCAAGTACACTCAGGAGCTAACTCTGAATAGGCAGAAGCAGCGGGCCTGCATGGAGGAAACCCTCTGGCTGCAGGTGAGCACGTGTTGATAGTCACTTCAGCTGTGAAAGAGGACACAAATTGAGTTTTGTGGCATAGATTTCTGAAATTGACTAGCAAGCCATTAATCAATGCACGGTCATTATTTTGAAGTTTCCAGTTACATTTTGACTGTGCTTAGCTGTGTCATGCACACTTTGCAGGAAAACATCAGAGACAAGCTGCGTCCCATCCCCATAACTGCATCTGTGGAGATCCAGGAGCCTAGCTCTCGCCGGCGTGTGAATTCACTTCCAGAAGTTCTTCCGATCCTGAATTCCAACGAGCCCAAGACAGTCCATACAGACGTGAGGCATCCTGACTTGTGTTTTGCTTTAGTTTTTGCCATATTGTGACGCTAAATCAAATGTCTCCAGGGGCAGTAGAAACTAGTGATTTGCTTTAAAGACCCCTGCTTTTTACTAATATGCTTTTTATATATGTAAATTTGGAATGAAAAGATTTACTTCAAAAATTAACAATGGAACTGGGAAATACAGTTTGGGGCCAGGGAGCACTTGTATTTTTGGCCAGTAGTTGAGACTCTCATTGGCAGAACATACATTCTCATACTGTTTTTCCTGTGCAGAAAGAAAAATACGTTGTACTTTACTATTGACAGTAGTTAAGTGTAGGGAAAATACTGTTAGAACATAGCAAGACAAAGAAGGATTAGCAGTGAAGTAGTCACTTAGTGCCTAATGCAACCTAGGTCATCTTAGGAAGAAAAATTGACGTTACATGGCTTGCTGGATCTCGTGTAAGGTAGGAGCTCTTCACTGGGGCTCAGGTTGATGGTGGAAATGCAAGATTAGCCTGGAGAGCTATGGAATCTTGTTCTGACATTATTTTGCTGCTAAGCATTTGCTCTGCTGCCAGTTGGTGATGGTGCCTCGCTCTGAGGCTCCTGGTAATGATGACTTCCTGAGGTAAACTCTGCAGAGGAGTATACTCACCGCTTCCCACTTAGGAACTGATGGCTAAGGCTATACTTTGTCAATTGTTTTTGTCACCAAATAGAGTTCCTTATGCTTTTGTATACTTTGTGTTCTTTCATGTTACTGGTTGTCATCTTGTTAAAATGTCTTATACACATCCCCGGTTCCAGAGCCAGAGTAAACATAACAGGAGACGGTTTCCTAACTGTTTAGCAGTGTAATAATCGAGCACATTATTTGACATAATGCTGGGTATTCTGTGCCTCTTGCTTTCTCTGTTTCTTCATCTGTACGACGGGGCTCATAATAGCGGTTATCTCCTCAGAGGTCTGGTGTATGGATTGAATGAGTTAAAATGTGTAAATCAGGTGTCAGCTAGCATCAGAGTTATTCCTGATGATTCTCACAGTAGTTCTGTAAAGTAGGGACGTGGTAACCCTATGTGACTTATGACAAAACTTAGACTCCGAAAGGTTACCTGACTTGCCTGAAGCCACAACAGCTCAGCAGGTGGCCGAGCCAGCTTTGAAACCCAGATTGTCTGTGGCTGCAGGGCTCACACTCTGCTGCACCCACGGCCTTGAGGCTCTGGTAAGAGCACTGTGGCGAAGGACAGAGTAGGATGTGTGGCGGGACATTTGATGTTTGAATTCTGTGAGGATGATTATCACAGGGCAAGGACTTATGCAATCTCTTTAGATGCCTTTAAGCCTTTGTTTTCCTACAGGTGCACTTCTTAAAAGAAGGATGTGGCGATGATAATGTATGCAACAGCAACCTTAAACTAGAATATAAATTTTGTACCCGAGAAGGAAACCAAGACAAATTTTCTTATCTTCCAATGTAAGAATCCCTCTGTAGCACTAGCAAAAACGACTAAGATGACTTTTGGTTAAGAAAGAGTTACTGGAAGTAACTTTGTCATTTTTTTTTTTTAATAGTCAAAAAGGCATACCAGAATTAGTTCTAAAAGACCAGAAGGATATCGCTTTGGAAATCACAGTAACAAACAGCCCTTCTAATCCAAGAGCTCCTGCAAAAGATGGAGATGACGCTCACGAAGCTAAGCTTGTTGCAACATTTCCAGACACTTTGACATATTCTGCATACAGAGAACTGAGAGCTTTCCCTGTAAGTATTTTTAGAGATCAGTCGAGTGCGGAAAAGAATACCACATGGCACATGAACGCACTGTGACCTGGTGTCTTTTTCTGCCACAGGAAAACAGCTGAGTTGTGTTGCCAACCAGAATGGTTCCAAGCAGACTGCGAGCTCGGAAATCCTTTCAAAAGAAATTCCAGTGTAGGTGATGGCTCCACATGCTGTATTTTACCATTCTAAAGACCAGTACTATGTCCATACTGACATGTGTTAACAGGTATTTATGTATGTATTTTTAGGTTACTTTTTACTTGATTTTAAGTACAACTGAGGTCACCTTTGACACCACAGATCTGGACATTAACCTGAAGTTGGAAACGTAAGAATTTCTTTAACCTTCCATTCAGAATTATTTCATGAAAACTCTGGCAGTCAGTGAAGTGGCACTGAGCTAGCTCATAGAAGAAGTGTAATTGTAATGAGAAAACTGACTGTTCAAATAAAACCCTATTGTTTCCTTTTCAATTTCAGAACAAGCAATCAAGATAATTTGGCTCCAATTACAGCTAAAGCAAAAGTGGTTATTGAACTGCTTTTATCGGTCTCTGGGTAAGCGTTTGTGTTTAGCATAACAAATCAATGTTTGAAAGAACCACTTACAATTCTCACTAAAACTGGTGTTTTTTAATTTAACAGAGTTGCTAAACCTTCCCAGGTGTATTTTGGAGGTACAGTGGTGGGTGAGCAAGCCATGAAATCTGAAGATGAAGTAGGAAGTTTAATAGAGTATGAATTCAGGGTAAGGTGGAATAGTTGATCCTTTTCATGTACCAGAAGCTAACATAACCTAGATAGGGTCTTGACTATGTAATTTTAATAAATATAATAGGTGTCATAAATAATTAAAAATGAGTTTGCCAGTTTTTAAGCACATACTGGCTTATAAAACTTCATCCTCCAGAACAGAGAACAAGTGTCACTCAGCCTAGGCCTTTGGTTCAAAAACTCAGTTCAGCTTATTCTTTCTATTAGATAGATAGATATAAAATATATATGGTATAGAGACAAAGTAATGTTTGATTTTTTTCCCCCCACAGTATACAAAACAACAAAAATCCCGAAGTAATTTATATTTGGCTTTAGAATGTATGATTTATTTCCTCATTATAAGATTGTCTTTCTTATTGCTCATGATTGAAAGACTGAATGCTTTCTTCTCTTCCATGAGCGTGCTCTTGTGATGGTGAATGTAGATTTGGAATAGCTCACCATGGGCTCTGAGCCATTGCAAAGCAGGCGATCAGTGACTCTGTCCAGTTGAATGACATAAACATGGGTTTGAAGTTGCCCATAATTCATATATGGGTTTGGGCCTGTGTGATGCAAATCACATTCCTGAAAGCATAGTGAGCATTGAGGTGGAAATATGAAATGGCAAAAATGGACCCACCCCTGATAACAGCAGGTATCACTTAGCATTATAGACACAGCTAGGCCAAGAAGTAGTGGTGACTGTGACTTCTGTACAGGTCTGGCTAGACAAGAAGTCTGTGGGTCTGTCCTCCCCACAGACAGAGAGCTCTGCCCTCTGCTCTGGCTCCTGCTGCAGAGACTGCTCTGTCCCCAGTTCTCAGACTCTCAAGACTGGTTTGTCTTGAGACAAACCCCTGGGTAGTAGAGGACAGAGGCAGCTTCATTTTCCAGTAGGTGGGCTTTCCAGAGAGTGAGTTTGTGCACTGCCTTGGCACATGCTTTGTCATTTGCCAAAATAACATGGTTACAGAGCATGTTAGTTCCTTTTGTGTAGCTGTGACCAAAATACTTGACATAAACAAGAGGAAGGATTTCTTTGGCTCAAAGTTTCAGAAGGTTCAGTCAATGGTGGTGGAAGCATATGGTGGAAAAGGTTCTTCACTTCACCACATGGTGGACAAAAAGCAGAGAGGGAAAGTCAGCACTGAGCTGGCTTTCTTCCTTTTCCTATTTCATTTCACCAGGAGATGGGGAAGCCTATGGGATGGGGCTGCCTACATTCAGGGTGGGTCTTACCCCCCCTCGAAACACGCTCATAAACACACTCAAGGTGAGCTTTACTAATCTTCTAGGTGCTTCCATATCTAATCAAGTCAACAATGAAAATTAACCATGATACAGAGTGATTCACAAATACACACAGGAGTGTTCCCTGGGCTTATTGAGAACATGGTGGATCTGCACTGCTGATTCTGTTGCATACAACCGTTGCTCATGGATTGAATTAGCAGTCATTTCTCTTTGGCCTTTCTATTTTTATTGACGAGAATCTTTAAGCATGTAGTCTCTATTTTGAACATCCTATCCATAGTCCTTTTCTGGAGCCTGTGTTGTTATTGTAGGATTATGCCAAATATTGTAGCTTTTTTTCCCTCTTGGCAATAGGAGCTGCTGCTTAATTTTTCATTAAAAGGATTATATTGAGATAATATGTATTATTTTCTAACAGGTGATTAATTTAGGTAAACCTCTTAAAAACCTTGGCACAGCAACCCTGAATATTCAATGGCCGAAAGAAATTAGCAATGGCAAATGGTTGCTTTATTTGGTGAAAGTAGAATCCAAAGGATTGGAAAAAATAGTTTGTGAGCCACAGAGTGAAATAAACTTCCTGAACCTTAAGGTATGTTGGGTTTCTCTAGTGCCTCCTTAGGCATAGATGTGAGAAGCTGACCTTTGAGGGGAAAATCATGATTCCTAGGGAACCTGGCATGTTGACTTTTCCTTTGGTTATCACAATTTCTCTTTCATAGCTGAGTAACCAACTCAGGCCAAGGCATTTTTGCTGATAGATGATCATTATGGTACACACGAAGAATCATTCAATGCTTGTTGAGACAAATGACATTTTACAAAATTTTATGATCCAGTAGGCTGAATAAGAATGACTGGGATGTGTTACTGAGGTGAGCCACCCAGTATTAACTCCAAGTAGGACTATTGCAAACTCACTATAAAAGATATGTGCACCTTACCAAATGAACTTGACGGCTTTTCATTCTTTGTGGTGCTGGGGAGTGAATTCAGGGGCTGTGCTTGCTGGCAGGAGCTCTACCACTTGAGCCACACCTCCAGCCCCTACCATTCTTATTTTTTAATAATATTCATTAGGTACTTACTGTCTCAGGCGCTGTACTAAGCATTTTGTTTTCTCATTTTATTCTCTTCATATTCTATGAGGTTTTTTTTATTATCCCCATCCCCACAGGTGAATATACTGAGATTCAGAGACATCAAGTAACTTCCTCAGCTGTTGAGAAGCAGATAGGCCAGACGCTGGTGGCTCACACCTGTAATCCTAGCTACTCAGGAGGTAGAGATCAGGAGGATCATGGTTCGAAGCCAGTCTGGACAAAAATAGTTCCCAAGGCCCTATCTTGAAAAAAACCCATCACAAAAAAAGGCTGGTGGAGTGGCTTAAGGTATAGGCTCTGAGTTCAAACCCCAGTACCACAAAAAAAAAAGAAGAAGAAGAAAAGGCAGCAGATAGATTCTGCATTTAAACTCCATCTAATTTCAAATCTGCCTTTCTTTACCCCACTCTTTACTGGTCTACACTTATGTAATCAGTGGCTTATTTATGTTCTGGTTTGATGAAAGTTTGAATGGTCGATTCATGTCTATTTCTTTGATTTTAAGTTCTAAGATGAGAAGGCATGATCAGTGTTCATAGTTGCTCCTTTACTCATCAGTTTTAAAAAGCAAGACATCCAGTTATTCCTAAGGCTTATTGTATGCTTTGCATCTCTAACCCAACAATCTGAAATCCACAATGCTCCAAAGTCTTATTTTGTATTTTAAGATTAGGGATGTTCAACAGGTAAACTCTATGCAAATCTTCTAAAATGCAACCCTCCCTCTCCCCAAATCCAAAGCATTTTGGTCCCATGCACTTCCAATAAGAGAAACGCAACCTGTATGAGGAAGATACACAGTTTTAAAAGTTCTTATATGGCTTAATTTTCAGTGCTCTTCTGAATCTATCATGTTTGGGTCTTTTTGCTTCTTTTTGCTTGGCAGTATCACTTAGTCATTCTATATGTTTTGACTATCTGCCATAAGTTCGGTACTGAGCTGGTACTGGGGACATGGGAATAAGAACTGATCCTGATCTCAGTAGACTCACAGTTCGTGTGGTGTCATTTGTTCAGTTTGATGGGTATACAGAAACAAAGGAAACATCTTTCTCTTTGCCTGAGTTTCAAGGTCACAGTAGGAATAAACTACGTAAAGACTCATTAATCAATGAACTTAAGGTTAAAGTGGTCCTAACACCTGATTTTACACTTGAGTTATTTCTGTGCCTTTGATGGTGGGAGGATGGTGAATATTAATGATTGATTATGTGAATTTGACTTTGTTTTGGAGGTTTATATGATAATGAAAAGAATTTGGATACAATTCTTTTCAGGAATCTCACAACTCAAGGAAGAGACGGGAAATTGCTGAAAAACAGAGAGATGACAGCAGAAAATTTTCTTTATTTACTGAAAGAAAATATCAGACCCTGGTGAGTACTTGTCCAGAGCCGGGCACCTGTGATAGAGGGTGGCGGGGAGGGCTTCCCAGAATGGTGGATTCTGACAGCCAGTCTTCCTCTCTGTCTCTAGAACTGTAGCGTGAACGTGAAGTGTGTGAATATCAGGTGCCCACTTCGAGGGCTGGACAGCAAGGCCTCTCTTGTTTTGCGTTCAAGGTTATGGAACAGCACGTTTCTAGAGGTGTGACTCTGCCATCAGGCTGTCCCCTGGAATCATTTGCCACTGCCTAGGGACATTTGACACTTAACTAATGCAACACTGTCTCCCACAGGAATATTCCAAACTTAATTACTTAGACATTCTTGTGCGGGCTTCCATTGATGTGACAGCTGCTGCAGAGAATATCAAACTGCCACATGCAGGCACTCAGGTGAGAGATTCCCCCGCCTCCTGCAGGCTCTACCCCATGCCCACAGCCTCGGTCACTCTTGGTGCCCAGGTCCCATATAGCCCTGTTAGCCCATTCAGGGGAAACAGTGTCTTAGGTGCTGCTACTCCAAGCTGTATTTTAATAGAATCGTTAAAAAAAAAAAAGAAAAGAAGTAAACAGTGTTCTCCACTCAGCAGAGCCTGTGGTTGATGTGAGAGCTCTGGCCCAGTGGAAGATTGGGTATACCTGGATATCCTATAGAAACCCAAGTCTTCGGCCACCCCTAATGCTAGATAGAGCCATTCTTGGAATGCCTGTGACATGTGTCACAGGTATTAGAAATTAGTTATTTGTTATTAGTTATTAGCCGCAGTTATTAGGAAAGATCTTTCTATGTGAATCTAGAATGGAACCTTATAAAAAAAAAGTTTCCTTATTATGCCATTTGGACCAAGCCTAGTATAAGTTCTCTCTTGTGGCCATGTAACAGTAGCCCTCCCAATAATTGAAGGAAGCTGTCCTGTTTCCTTGGACATCTCTTTTATTCTGTTTAGAGACACACACTCAGCTCTCCTGTTAACTGTCATGTTAACGCTAAATAGGTTCCTGGCCTGCCCTCATCACACATTGTGATCCCACCTGGACAGGGCAGCTGAGATGTGCTCTGCCCAGTTCTTCTCACCCTGGGTCTTTATCTCCCAGTATGTCAGCGCCTTGCTCTGTCAGACCAGCCTGGAAGGTGATTTGCAATGTTGGCTGAGCAGTGTGGTGGTGGAATTTCTAGCAGCTGCTATTTTTGTGTTCTGCTCTACTGAAACTCCCAGGAGGTTTCAGCAGAATTTATTGTCGATCAGTGTTTCCTATATCTTATCCTTGAGCATGTCCTTAAACGTATCCTCCCCTCACAAGACTTACTTCTGACCCATGGTTTCAAGTTACTTTGAATTTGCTTTCTCAACTTCCTATCCTTACAAACTTTGTCTTTTTCAAAACCGAGAAGCATGCTTCCTATTTTCATCAAGATAATTAACAAAAATAGGGGACAGAACAAATTGCAGAATTTTCTGATGAACCACTACTTGAGGATTTCTTGTAAGGATCTACACCAGGATCCCAAGGTAGAATGACTGCATGTCAGAGTGGGAATTGTAAATGGGAATGTTTTACAAAAGAGACCAGAGACAGAAAGGTTGTGAATTGCTCTAATTTTTTTTTTTTAATTTAGAGTATTGGTGATTAAACCTAGGGCCTAAAGCATGCTAAGCAAAAGTGCTCTACCACTTAAAGCCATGTCCCCACCCCACTGGGGGATGTTTGCATTTTATTCTTGAAATAGGATCTCACTAACTTTGCCCAGACCAACTATAAATTCACTATCTTCCAGCCCCTACCTTCCAAGTAGCTGGGATTACAGGTGTGCACCGTCATGTCTGGCCCAGGCTCACTGAATTTTTAGCTAGCTAAATAACCAAAGCCAGAACATTTCTGTAAGTAAACCAGCAGATGAGTGAGTATAAGAGTAGTAATTTGGCCAGGCTAGCTTTGAACCGAGATCCTCCTGATTTCTGTCTCCTAAGTAGCTAGGATTAGAAGTGTGAGCCACTGACACCCTGCTTGTCTTGTCTTTTTTTTTTTTTTTCCCTCTCTTTCTTTGCCTCTAAATTCAGAGATGAATTTGAGATGCATACTTTCATAAGTTTTTTTTTTTTCCCAGTACTGGGGTTTGAACTCAGGACCTCAACTTGCTAAGTAGCCACTCTACCACTCGACTAAGTAGCCACTCTACCACTCGAACCACTCCATCCTAGCCTTAAGATGGAGTTTTTTTTGTTTTTGCAATTCTGAGGATTGAACTCAGGGCCTTGCAATTACTAGACAGCCATGTACCACTTAAGCCAGACCTCTGACCAAGATCATTTCTTATGTTAGGAAACTCACTAAGAATGGATGATGTCTTTTAATAAAGTTTTGTAAAGGACATGAAAATTCTTTCACTGGGTGATTTCTTATATTGATGTCAGTGGGAGTGGAGGGCCTTACATTGTAGAGTAATTTAGTGAAAGCATTTTGTTAGTTGGCAAGCTAATGTGCTCTGCGCTGCTTGCTAACTTGTGACAGGATTTAATGCTCAATAGAGCTTGGGCTCTTTTCCCTTTATGAGCACGTGCATAGGTCATCCCCATGGAAATGCCTAAATTTTAATGAAGCCAAAGGGAAAGAGTTGTTTTGGGGGTTGTAAAGCTCCATAGTAGTTTCTACTCACCTTAAGCTGGCTTTATTAACATTAGCTGTTAATAAATGTCATTAGTAACAGTTGTTGTGTCAAGACATGCCCAGGCTTTTCTGAGCTCTGAGGATCACAGTCCACACAGTTTATCCTCCCTTACCTGATCATATAGCTCCCCATTTCCCCCAATCCCCACTGGAGAATGACTGTCATGCCAAAAGCAGGGAGGAAGGAATCCACAAAATTGCAGCTGATAACCTAAGTAAACAGTATAGTCCTGTTGACTGGCTCTCACCTTCCTGGTCCCTAGAGCATAGCTGGCCTACATAAATGTGTATCCAGTCCAGTCCCTGATGCGGGTCCTCAGTCTTTGATGCCCAGTGAGTAGTTTTACAGCATCTAGAAGGCTCCCAGTTCTGGCTTGAATGGTGGTCAGACCAGAGTCTTAGACATTCTGTTGGATTCCTACTCACTCATTCTGCTGCCCAGGTGCAAAAACTCAAAACTACCTTGTTCAACCTTAGGCTGTTGAGTGGCAGCCATTAATGGAGTGGTTTCTATTGTTGTCAGGCATTTCAAAGGCACAATAAACATTGTGGTTATAATAGGCTGGTGGAGGCTGCCATAGACTAGTCTCTACCACTTCTGCCATATTTATCTGAACTTATTTTTGCAAATGAGAATGGTCCTTCCGTGAGGCCATCTTGCCCCAAACACACACTGCATTCTTTCCCTGTATTAGATACAAGGGAAGCAAGATTAAGATGCCACCTAGAGTAAAGGAAGTCATCATTTTTATTTTGTTGTCAGCTTTCCGCCACATAATTGTTATTTCTTCAATGGTCTCTCATGATTTCTTCCTCTTCTCTCTATGGATGCCCCTGTGTTGGACTCAAGTAATCTCCAGAAAAGGTGATTTTAGCTTAAAGGCAGGGCACCTGTAGAAGGGGGAAGAAAGTGGTAGTGAGCCTTAGGCCTCGAGTTTGGGAGGAACCTTGCTCATCATCGTATAACAGAAATGTGGCTTCTATCTGTAAAGGTTTTACACCTGCCTGTTGTCAACCATGTAATTGGCTGTAAATTCCAGATGTCAACT